GCTCGATGCCGCGACTACCGCTTGACGTTTAATTGATAATTTTGATGACTTTTTGTTTTATATTATAATAACAAACCACTGCTGCGATAATTTTAGAATTTGTAATTTGACGTTTTGTGATAATTTTGATGATTTTATGTTTTACACACAATTTAAGTTAGTACTATCTTAAGTCGTGGTTTTATACTATAACTCTCCACTGCTATGATAATTTATGTGATTGCTAATAATAAACGTTATACTAATATACATTATTATATAAATGGCAATTCATGATGTTTATTATGTATTAAAATACGGAACTATCTGGATAGTACTATAGTAGTCGAAATATCAGAGTTGAGAGTCGCGATAGTAGGGATAACAGAAAAGTACCTAATTATTAATTATAATATTTTATCAAATAGACTGACTTAGCAGTAATAATAAAATAAATTAGTCAATACATAAAATAGTTTAGACGGTGTGAAAGATGCCAAAGTAAAATTWAAAAAAAAAATATAAATATTTTAGTAAATAGACTATCAGCTGTAATAATAATAAATAATAAATATAGTCAATACATTAAATTATAATTAATAATCTACATAAAATGAATGATAAAAATAAAAATTTAAGTTTGTTATATTGTATTATAGTATCTTATCTTCATTCCTTAAATTTATTTGCCAATGCTTTTAAATATTGAAATTTAATTTGTGTTTAATTTATCAATTAAATTATTAAAAAGATTWGTTTTATTTTTTGTAGCTTAATTTTGGTTTCCATTTTTGATAATTGAATTAATATTATTGTATCTAACTGCATTGATTTTAATACATCCAAAAATTTGTAAGTATGAGGATGAGTTGATGAAAAATTAAAGTTATATTTACAATGAAATCGATATAATCTGAAAAACTATTGAAAGGTATTTTAAGTATGCTTATATGGGAGGCCATTCGAGTAGACTATTTGGGTATACTTGAATTTTCTCCGAAAACACCCGGAGGCAATTTGAGTGAAAAAAGGTTATATATATACTTAAATTTGGGAGGCAATTCGAGTGTCGCCTCACATTCATCATGGTTTAWTAAATGAAAACAAAATCACAAATAATTGSTTTATTTCTCAATAAAATCTTCACTTAATAATATTTGTTACTGTTTTATTTGTAAATGTGATTTTAGTTTTTAGTTATGTTCTAATATTGTTTCTTTTTAATAACTGTAATTAATCTTAATTTTGAGATTGCTTGATAACTCTATTGCACCACAAGCCTAGACTTAAAGGAGTAGATATATTCTTTATCTCCTTATTAAATTTACGTTTAAATGTAGTAATGTAGTAAATGGAAAAAAACTATTCAATAAAAATAAATAAATAAATAATTAAAATATTAAACATTTTGTTTTTATAACTTTGAAGGGCCAACAACACATTTGCCCCCTAATTTTACTACAACTAACATAGCCTATTAGAATCAAATTAAAGGGTTAATATTTTTATTATGTTATACTATTAGAAATTTTCATGATTTTTTTTCACATTCTTGTGTCTGGGTGATTGATTATCATTCCACAAAATATTAAGATATGATCATTCAAAAACTATCAACATGTTCTATCACATTTCAAAAGAGAAAAAAAATATTTTGAAAATTAATTACAAAATTATTTTTATATTACTTCTTAAACAATTAGTTCCTGAGTTGTAATTAAATATAAAATAAATTAGCGTGAAACTGTTGCTTCTTTACGTGCAGCATCTTGTAACAACTGTGTATCAACTTCATCCGCTGGTAACTGTACATAGCGAACCACAGAACCTCTGATGAAACAGTTCCTCACAGAAGCCTAAATATTAACAGTATGAGTTTTTTTTTTTTTATGTTGAAGTAAAACTAATTTGTAATTACCATATGTGGGTATTTTTCAGGATCAGTTACACTAATGTCAACGAGTTTGATATTCAAATATTGATCCACAGAATGTAATGTTCCACAAATACTAGAAAGAAAATGTGTTAAATGAAATAATACTTTTAACTTCAGTATATGTAATAAAAATAAAATTATCACTTAGGTACCTCAGATCATTTTTTAATTCCACGACGACATCCTTTCCAACAAGTGATTTAAAAAAAGAGTAGAACAACTGTAAAAAAATAGATTAAAATATAATGTTGTCATATATTTATTTATATTATAGGTACTCTATATGAGTGTTTAATATTTAAAGTTCTATAATAATCAATGTATACAAATATATTGCAATACAATACTTATCAATACTTGTCTAATAAAGGATATTTATGACTGTTTTATAATATGAAGTTGTTGCATGGCTAGACACCCGCATGTGTAGTACAGCATAGCAAAAATTATTTTAAGAAGAACAGAACCACTTTGGYTGTAATGATAWTTTGTCAAGACATAAAATTGTTATAYACTATATTTGAGAATATAATCTGTAAAGTATAATGTTTGTTTTTTTAATATTATTTAACTATACAAACAAAATTCCTATTGTTTTAAAATTCATTACTTTTGTTTTTTTCAAACTTGAAAAACATTTTTCATAGTTTGATATTGAAAAAAAAAGATACTTTACAACCATAGGTCTTTTTATATGATGATAATTT